CAGGAGCTCCTCTTCCTCATGGAGAGTAATTTGGAACCAGAGAGAATCAGAATCAGATGGGACAGTTTAGTCTGGGAACTAGAACCAGAACCCAGCCCACAGTCTAAAAAGCGGGTTACAGAGGTATGGAGCTTAAAAAGCAGCTTCAAGCTGAAAGATGCAAAATATATGCTTGAATTTAAAAAAAAAAACAAACTAATAAAATGTTCATCTGATACTTTTATTTTGAATAAACTGAAGCAGCTTCCCTCACAGAGAATATCACACAGGACCTTAATGTACCGCACAACAGAGGAAATGAAGGTCAAATGTTGCAGAGACCCGTTTCAGACTGGCACACCTGCTGCAGGTGTGTTTGTGCACCTGAGCTAAAAGGCACCCAAGAACGATCCCTGCCCCACAGCAACATGTTCACGTTTCAAAATAAAAGCTTTGAAACTGTCACGTGCCTACATTTCCTACCCCTATGTATTGCCCGGTGTTGTCACATGACCCTAAACCTTTCTCCTGTGGCTCGCCACCCATCACAGCCCACAGGTTACTAACTGTTAACGGGACCTCGAGCATCGTTAGCGTGAAGACCCTCAGGTGGTCCTGGTGTGCATGTCTGGTGGTTCTTGTGACTTGTGGATGGGCAATGAACACTTCAGCGTCGACTTGGTCCTTCAGGTAAGCTAAAAGTCACACAGACTACCTGAGATGGTGAGCGAGTCAGGACGAGAAGCACACTGAGGTATGTGCACCTTCACTTTCTCACACCAAGAGACTCTCGGTCAGGCTAGAAAAATGCATTGTGGGTAAAAACATGCAGGTACATCACAGTTTTGCAGTCAAACACAAGCAGCAAACCCACACCTAACAGCCCAAAGTTTACCTGGACAGTTGAAGCTGAGCCTCCTGTCGGCTCCACGTGTAGGAAAAGTTATAAAAAAATCAAACACAAACATCAGGAAACGCAAAGAAACTCAGAATCGGGGGAATTAGAGGCAGCTCCATGAATTTGATCAAAGACCTCAGGGGGGCTGAGGGTGGGACATTTCTATGACTCAACAGCATAAATTGTTTACAAACTGTACATGCTCAGCAGAGGTCTGGGGGTGGGGTTAAAAATGATTCCTGAGAGGGATTATGGGTGAAGGTCAGACGTGCGAGGCCTTTCCCAAAGTCAGACACACACTGGCTCATTTCACCCAGTT